TCCCTACTTAGACTTTGAACTGGATGAAAGTTTAGAGATATTTTTCCCCCCTTAATGGTATGAATTTTGATGTGGAATGATTCGGTACAAGGCGCTCTCGTTCTGGAATACATATGTCTGCTCTCCTGTTAGCTTTGCAAACAGTTGCTTGGAATGACGCTGCTTTAGGTCCGGCCCAAAGGTTACTTTGCCCAGTTTAAATATCCCAAAGGTTCGAGGAGTGAGACGAACAAGGTGGTTCCTCTGGGATGGCAGCTCTGGCTCTGTTTTCAAGGGGCTCCATTTATTTTATTTTTCACAGTGTGATATTAATACCGCTAACTTGTGGCACATAAACAGGCAACACGGCAAATGCAGAGGCAAAGAGGAAAGTCCCCTCCCTCTTTTGTGTGGACACCTGCTGTGTTGGTTTTTTAGGGGTTGGTTGGGAGAGGAGTCCCCTGAATTTCCAGGGGTCTGTATGTCTCCACTTTCAGATTCAGCTGCAGAAATGAGAAGACTGGTGAACTCTAACAGAGGCAGGACAAGACTGTGAGCATCCGCTCATGTGTGGAGCTGGATGGACCTCAGCTTTCCCTAAAATCATACTACTCTCTTATTTCCCGATACCTTTTCATGTCCTATCACCCTGCCGGGTAGGATTTTAGGATCCGTTTAGTCTAACTTATGCTTCCAATTGCTTTTGAGCTCTTTCTGTTTCAGACAGACAGACAGACCACACGCTCTCACACACACCTACTCATTTCTTCTTAGACTCTCTGCTCCGTCTCATCTGAGTCACATACAGGGCCTTTGACCATTGCCTCCCTGTAATAATTTCCCCCTAGCGTGATCTGTGAAAGCAAAACGTTGACGAACCCATTGAGAGAAGACCCTACTCAGTCACTTTCTATCAACCCCAATTATGAGGCAACTCAGCAGTTAATAATCTGCTGGGTTAATTAGTGGTTGAAAGGATTATATTGATGACTGGGGGAATAAATGGGTGGATGGATGGATGGATGGATGGATGGATATATTAGAGCAGTAACTGCTTTTTTCATTATTTGGTCAACTTGGATGATTTTTATGTTCCAACAATAGATTGCACAACTCGGACTAAAAACTCTGCAGGAAGGGATTAATAGCAAAGCAATAAACAAAATAAAATGCATGAAATCATTACTTACTGCAAGCAGCCTCGCTCACAGTCTTAGACATGTATTTATATTACACAACAGAAGTCAAGTTACTTAAGCCATTTTCCTGTTTCGTGGAGACTTCTGTTAGGGTTGGAGGAGAGATAGTATAAAATTTTAAAAGGAGACAAGAAAACACAAAACTCAGTGATTTTCAATGCTTCGTCTTGATCATGGTTTTCCTTAGAACTTCTTACTGTAGTTTATTTAGCGTGTGTATCAGTTGTGTCTGTGTAGTTGATGAATTATTGAATTAATAAGGAGCTGCCCTCTGCCACTCACGGCGAAAAATGTTTGTTTTAAAAATCTGTATAACACCAGGATTTAGCATTAGTGTCAATACTCACAAGTGGATTTAAACAGGAACGGAGGGGACTCTCTGAGGCCTCCTTCGTAGGGCTTTGGGGCAGTAGTGACACAGGGCAAGGAGCGACACGGAGCACGAAGCTGACTTCCAAGTGGGCAGCATCCTGCGTAACCACAGTGCGCGGGCTCCAGCCGTCCTGGTGAATTTAGGACTTGGAACGATGGCTTCTTTTCACAAGACAGCAGACAGCAGATCTGGGAGCGGTGAAGTTTCAGTTGAGTCATCTCACTCGTGACACTTGTTTTAAATGCAATCTGCTTTAACTCCCAAGTGTTGCCATCTTTAGAAAGCATGGGAATTTTCTCTCACCCATTCACAGGCAGCTCGCCGAAGAGCTTCCAGAGAGAAAAATCCCATCTCGTGCAAAGTAATGCACGTTGACTTATTTTTACCGAGGGTGTCTTTTCTGACAGAAGGCGACTGTTGCCTTTCTCTGTTGGTTGTGGCCTCCCAACCTCAGGGAATGGCTTCCTGCAGAGGCGAGTGTAGCTTTGCATTCACAGTTTACACAGCAGACATCTGAGCATCTCCCCCTGGTTCCCTGTAATAAGACTAGTTATTTTCTAGTCTTTGGGTGGTTGTCGGGAGATAATGCTCCTTGGGCCTCTCCCATTTCTGCCCATTTTGCAAATAGAGACACTGATACTTTTGTCCTGGTCTAATTTTTCAAGACTGTATAGCAAACAGCCTTGGAAAATAGAGTCTCTCTCTCCGAAAGAAAGGGTAGCCGTGTTTACTGCCTATTATAAAAGATTTAGGTTTCCTAAGCTCAGGCTTTCTCTCTTTTAACACAAACTAATGAGTATTCAGGAGTCACCTGGCCCTTTTGTGCATTACCCTTCGGGAGGCAGGACTCAAGGATTCAGATACTCTGGCTACTGCTATTGCCATAATGACATCTTTTGTTTCAGATCTAGGATTTGTGTCTTCTGCTGGCATCTGTGGAACTGTAGTCGGCTATAGAATTAATGAAAACTTTGGTTTTAACAAATACTTGTATATGAACTAATTTTTTCCTGGTGGCTGGGTCGTTGTATGGTGAGTTTAGAACAGCACTAAGGAGAAATGTTTCATTATGATACAGTAGGCACATTTATTCAGTGTTACAGCAAGGATGAAATTATATTTGCATAATGTATTGTACAGCTTTTGACAGCCAGTACACTGTATACTTTGTCCAAAAATTGCTACTCCTCTAAGCTCAACATTTCAATTTTTGGGGAAAAGTAATTTTAAGTTAAAAGAGTTACGTAGTTAAAAATGTTCAGGTATTTTCTATCATATTATTTTCTCATATTTCATGTCCCCACGAAATAGTCTTTTTCCCAAGGCCTGTTTCTGAAATACTCATGTTTAGCAAAAATCTATGTTTGTTCACATTCAAATGCGATTATAGTTAAAAAAGGGCATGGTTTAATTACTATGAAATATTATTTTAAATTCATGGAACATCATAATTGTTAATACGTTTGGTTAGATTCTCTTAAAATCTTTATGAAGCCTAATTTAAACAACAATTTTAATGAACTGTAATACCATTTCATAATATAGGCATTTCATAAAATAAACATTTTCATTAAGCAGTTACACAAGGATTTAAATACCTTTTAATTTCATACCGTAGATTTAATAAAAGTAATTCAGCGTAACAATTTTGTTATTGTGTTTAGGTTTTAGAATTACCTGAAAAGTGCAGATTCAGCGAGTTAATAGTGTTCTTTCATTACGCAAATTTAGTAGATTTTTAAAATGGTGTCTGATAATTATAATGTTAATAGCAATAATAAATATATTTAAAATTAGTGACGTGTGTATTTGATAGATTTTTTTTAACACTATCTTTCATAGATTAACTTGTGTGGTTTATTAGGGACTGGCAATCTAAATTTCCAGTCCAGGCTAATGGAATTCAGCGTTTCTTGAAATTCCAGGAAATAAATCTAGACTGTTCTCCAAAGTTATGGCCCAGAATGCTGCTGTTGCTCAAAAGCCAAGGTGATACTAGGTCTGTCAGAAAGGATATTGGAAAGGAAACAGAAAATACTTTTCTCTGCTTTTGTTATATCCGCTGTACTCTCATCAGAAATACTAACCATACTCATAGTTGCCACACGGTACAAAATTAGAACACGCTAGAGAAAAGTGAGCCGGTGGAGGCGAGTAGAATGGATTCCGTATATAGACAGACTAAAAGAAAAGTTTGGGAAAATAAAGTTTAAAAAAATTTGCATGTGTACAGGGAATATTCCATTTGCATGTGTGTGAATGTTTGTTTTTGATGACGAAGGGGAGACAGAGTTTTGTCTATCAAATGCATCGTTGTGGAAACATAGAATAAGTCATGTTATTTTTTTCCTTCATTTTTTAATGTTCAAATAATCTGCAAAATAGAGACATCAACAAAGATAAATAAATCTGTTCAAATAACATCAAAATACAGAAGATCTGTTGAATCTTTGTAGCTTCTCATATTGACATGAAATTATTCATACTCATCACAGGACATTTATATTCAGAAAGAAACTGTTTGGGGAACTTCTCAAAATAAATGCATTTTATAATTTATTTGAGTCTTATAAACAAGTTCCAGGGCTGAATAGATACTTAACCCTGTATTTGCTTGAGTACATACTATTGCAGTTACTTCTGTTTTATGGGACAGTTGCTGCTGTGCAGTTCATCATATAAGGACTCACCCATGCTCCTTATGTGTTCTTTCCTTTATATCCTTATTAATCTAAGAAAATCAGTCTTCCCCACCTTCAAGGCCCTTTCCATACATACCTATGAGATGCTGTTGAATTACACCAAGTGATATATTTTGACAAAGTTTGATCAATAGTGTTATTAGACAGATTTTATATATATTATGCATACATGGTTACCATTTTTCTTTTTGATTAATCTGAGAGCCATACCAGTCCTGATAACTACCACATTAGGATCTAGCAGATCCTGACTGAGAAGAAAATAGCCGAATACACTAAATGTGTTTGGTTCAGAATTAAATTTTTTTTTTTTTTTTTTGCGAAAGTGGGGTTTTGAGTAATGCAAAGGGTGTTTAAAATCATGTTTATGATGCTAAACAGCCTCCCACTCAACCACATGAAGATACACAGTTTCTTGAATTCATGAGGTCGTAAGAATATCCACTCACGGTTTAAGAGAGCATTATATCCCTACCAACTCCCTTTGAACTCGCCTAGTAGGAGATTTTAAAGTATCTGATGAAATGAATAAATTCTAAAAAAATGACTTAGAAATTCAGGCTTCATAGTTAAAATATTATGTTTCCATTGGAATAGAAAAATGTTTTCTAAACCCTAAAAAACTTACATGGTGTTTGTGTATGGAAAACATTTTCGCCTTGATGTGTAATGGTTGAGAGTCAATCTTTCCCGTCACCGGTTTCCCCCCAAATTGTAGCCTGGTTCTTAGCTTGTCATTTACCTTCCTTACAAGAAAGGGAGCCATCTTTTGTGATTTCCAACCTGTTTGCTCTCTACCAGTTTCTTATAAATCTCTGACTTTAGAAACCGAGGGAAAGAATCCTTGGCCATGAGACTGTAGATTAGCTTCTGAGCCTCGTCAAAGCACTTGAGAGTGGGCTCTGCGACGTTCTTTGAGATGAGGTCCCTGGTACTGAAGTCAATGTTAATCTGTGGAAATAAGATCGCATATCAGTAGATTAGCTCCATCAAAATATAGTCAGTGAGGAATCACAGCAGTTTAAAACTATGAATCGCTTGAACGTTCAAGTTTAACGTCGGAGGGGTATGTGGAGCTGATCGTGGTTTTAGTTCTGGGAATTAAATCAAATGAAAGTGTGATGTCAACATACACCACGTTGGGGGGGGGGGCTATTATCAAAGGTATTCCACATTTCTCTCTAAGGCCTTTTTTTGTATTTTTCTGAGCCTAAGTGATACAGGTGGGTCCTGATCCCTTGAGACAATGTCTCTCACCTTTGGCTGATTTTCACCGTCAAACAGATAAAGGTCAGAAAGCCCTTCTTTTAGAAAGTAAGACATTATCACCTGCCACAGTGGGGAACCTCCAAAATACTAAAAATGAAGATTTTATACTGTTGGATAGGAGTTGATTCTTTCCCCCTTATATACTATTTTTTAAAATTTATCTTTATTGTTGAAAGTATTACAGATGTCCCCTTCCCCCCCCCATTGACCCCCTCCACCT